AGTTGGACCTGTGCCATTAGACCTCAGGGTAGAGCTATTTATTCCTCCCTGCCTTAGGGAAATTAAAAAAAAATAGTTTGAGACTTTCTGAGATAAGGTAGCTTTCCGTATTTTTTCTGTCTGAGGATTGGTAGTAAGTTTTGACACATTATGACTCCAACAATTAAGATGAAACTGGGTTAGGTGGTTTTAAAGGTTTCACTGTATATTGGTCTGTTAATTCAAAAGAATAGATAGATCAATAATAGCCTCGCTTATGAAGCAGAATAAGGAGAATTAATATATAAGGAACAGAAAATAGAGTCAATGACATTTTTCACAGAGTGCCAATACTGAGCAATATGTATCTGGTAATTTTCCACCTTGACAATTACTACTTTTTGTGAGTTTTTTATGCTGTTCTCTATAATGACACACTGCTGCCTCTTGCAATCATGATCCTCTCCTGCTTCCATTTTGTTTGTCATGTCATACAAATTCATGTTTCTTTCTCTAGTAATACCATTTTCAGCAGGTCACAAAGAAGGCAAATGAAAACAGAGTCTAACAGTGGAATTGAATGATAGTATGAATGGATTTTCCTTGCAACTGACTTGGGTGATGAGAAATTCTCAATAAAATGCTCCAAGACACAGTGCCTAGCAATCTCAAAGCAAGGCAATTCTTCTACAAATTAAAGTGTATTCTTATGGTTAGCATTTTAGCCCATGCAGAACATGATGCAGTTATAATGACAACAACTCCTTAGGTCACTCGTCTGATTTTTCACTTGACACAGGAGTAGGGCAGTGATGTGACTTCATGATGTCAATATGATCAGACTGGGGATGTTTTCCCAAGTTACTCTTATTTGCTCAGTGCTTTTGATGAGTGTTCATTGTCTGCAGTGCACCAGCTTATATCTGGATGAGTATTAGGAAATTTATACTATAGTACTTTCATTTGGTCAATCTTAGCTTTTAGCTTATGTCAATTTATTCAATCAATATGGTACCGCTGCATGTTGTATGCAAAAAATTCACTTTGCCTACAGACTTAACCATAAAGGACTAAGGAAGATGTACTGTGCCAACACCAACTAAAAGAAAACTAGAATAGCCTTTCTTTGTATTTATTTTTTCTTTTATTAGAATGATTTTTTTCTTGCATCATGTATTTGGTTACAGTTTCTCCTCTCTCTACTCTTCCCAGTTTCACCCCTTCTCTCCTCCCATCTGAATTCACCCCCTTTTGGTCTCTCATTAAGCAAGCAGGCTTCCAAGGGACACTAACAAAATAAGATACAATATGACAAAACAAAAACTAGCACATTGGAACAGGACAAAACAAACAGGAGGAAAATAACCCAGGAGAAGGCCCAAGAAATAGGGACCTGCTCATTTGCACACTCAAGAATTCCATGAAAACACTGCATAATATATACAGAAAGGCCGTTTGGGCTAAAAAGAGATAAGAACAAATATATAAATAAAAGATAAATAAAAAATAATCAGATGAAAAGTTAAAAAAGGAAAACCCCAGATGATGAGATAAGAAATCTCTAAGGATGCTGTTGAGTTGTTTTCTGTTGTTACTGCTGGGCATGCAGCATACCCTAAAGAGTAGCTTATTTGCCCAGTAAGACTCCCTTGATGAAAACTAAAATTCCATTTTCAAGTGTTTATCAATTGAAGACAGTTCCTGGGTTAGGCATGGGGCATGAGTCCACCTCTCTCCTTAGCTCCAGGACCCTATCTGGCGCAGACCAGCGCATGCTGCCTCACTCTCTGTGAATTCATAGTGCGTCAATCTTGCTGTGAGTCATTAAACACCATAGCATTATATTTCTGACTCCTTTTTTTTATCTTCTATTCCTTTACTCCTTTGCTTATGAATATTTCAGTGTATCTTCTTGTTGCTTTGAACAAACTTCCAACAAAAAGTAACCCAAGGGAGGAAGAGCTTATTCTAGCTTTTGGTTATAGTAGTTCCTTCCATCATGGTGGCAAGACATAGCTTCCTGGGAGAAAAGAAGCCAGTCAGTCTCATTGTGTCCACACTCAAGAAGAAAGAAAAGAGGAAGTAGCAGATTATAAATGCCCCAGGCTGGTCCCAGGGATCCACATCCTCCAGCAAGGGTCCTAAAGTTTGCACAAAACGTCCTAAAACAATCCTAACTCTGTACCTGATGTTCAAACTTGAACCCATTGGGAACATGGCACATTCAAGCTACAAAAACAGGGTTATTGCCTGGACCCTGCCAGAGTTTGATGTATTTTCACTTTTCAATGCCTGTGCCATTCTGTAGATTTCAAAGGCGACACTCCCTGGGTTTTTCTTCTTTTGTATTTTCCCAGGCTGAGATACAATTGGCTCTACTACCCACAGGTCCAGCACCTACTGACACAACCAGAAACCAGTGGAAAACTTGCTGGGGAAAAATTGCATGTGTACTGAATAAGCACACGTTTCTTGATATTGCTCCTTAAACAGCACAGTGTAACAGATACTTACACGGTATTTACTTTGTATTGGGTATTACAAGAAATGAGGCAAGTAGATGGGAAGTTGTACACATGTTATATGCAAATGCCACACCATTTTATATAAGGAAGCTCAGCACTGGCAGATTTTGCTTTCTACCATGCGTATGGGTGTGGTGGAGTGAGGAGAATGAATCCTGTAGGCACTGAGGAGTGACTGCATATGTTTTTTTAATACCTGTATTAGAACAGCTTCATGCCTCTATACCCTCCAGCAGATGTCACAGGTCTCCTTACCATAGGTGTGTGTGGGGAACTTTTCACTGTTTTGGAGTCCAGTGAAGGAGAAGAGTTTCATTGATCTTGCTGGCTATTTCACTGCCCAGGATCTGTTGTCTTTGGTGAGTACTTTACACTGAATGACAATCGGTCCTTGAGATCTCAGAGCTTATTGACAAGTATAACTTGGAGTGTAGTCCTCCCTGCCCCCCTGCCATGTAATACTTCAAGCCCATTTTCTGCCTCTTGCTTGAGAGCTGTCACTTAAATGTGGTTCTTTCTGTAATGTCACAATTGCTGAGATGTGTCATTTACCAATTTGAGGTTTCTCTTGAAAAATCCTCTTATACCTTAGAGGAAAGAGTACCTCTCAGGAATGCTCCATACACTGGTTCTGTTTTCTGTTTCTAATCTGTTATTACATGTTTTGTTTCCTGGTTATGGAATACTGTGTGTTGATATTAAAATCTGGAAAATTCATACAAGGACAAATAATCTTATCAGTCAACAACAATGTTTGCTAACATTTAGCACATGTCATAGGATTTTGATTAGGAAATATGCAATTTTACGGAACTTATAAAACTTTAACATTTTGCAAATGTGTTTCTTTATTAGTAGTTTTCAATCTCTCCTGTTCTTTTATTATCTAAATTTAATTTCAAGATATTAACCTCCAAAAGTGTTTTTTTTTTGTTTTAATCGGCTACAATTCTTGTTCTGTAGAACATTTTTCTATGATGTCACTAAAGTCTTAGTTTCTTAGAGAAAAAAATTCAAAGTGTCATTTATATGTTTAATGCATTTTATCTTTTCTACTTTATTTCAAAATTAGGAAAGTAAGTCTCTTCAGAATTCATAGTTTTTGACATCTTATTATGAAATAAAATTAAATGCACAGCTGAAGTTTTCCCTCCACATCTCTCCCTTGTACTTCATAAGAGACAATCATTTATCATGTGATTATATATGATTTCAGTCTATTGTTGTGGACCACTGCCTGGACTTCTTCTCAAGATGTCTTAAACCCTTCTGTTTGTTGAAAACTAATAAAATGGACCATTCCCAGTAAGTCTCCTATTACAGAGTTAGTGGCTCAATTTCTCTAGAGCAGTGAGTCTCAATTGCGGGTCATGGCCTCTTCCACAAAGTCTATCTCCAAAACTATTTACATTATGATTCATAACAGAGTGAAATCACAGTTATGAGGTAGCAGTGAAAATAGTTTTATGCTTGGAGGTCGGCACAACATGAGGAACTGTTGAAGTAGTGTCTCACATGACGTGAGTCCATCTGGCTTTCTGCAGGATTCATCTTATGTAAAACCCATTGTGTGCTTTTTAAAATATGGGATTCTATTTTATTTATTCATTCACAAACCAACCATAGTTTCCCCTCTCTTCCCTCCCCTCCCTCCCCTCCAGCTGCCTGCAACCTACCCCCATCATTTCCTCTCTATCACCGGGAAATTTAAATCAACATGTTATACCAATGAAGCAATTGCATCAAAAGAATTAGAGTAAAACCTCCAAGAAACCAAATAGCCCCTTCCACCATTTACATCATCAGCAAAGGCAACACTGTTCCCAGCATCTGAACTAGTGGAGCTTATCATTTTGTCCCTTTCACGTCTGCTTTTCTCACTGATAAAATGTCTTCCGAGTCCCAATAGCGACAAGGAGGAAGGTTGCAAGTAGGCAAGCTTTTGCATTTTAGCTGACAAGAACATTTTTTGAAATGCTGTCTGTATGAAACACTCAGAAATTCAACACCCAAATAGTCTAAATCATAATATAGGAAGCATGCCACATGTTTGGGGGATGAACCTTCAACAACCTTCTCGACTAATTTACTCCATCATGGAGGTTCTTTCTAGGCTTCAGTGCTACCCCCAGAAGGCTGTGTTTTTCTTTGGAGCTTTGAATGTCTGACCACCTTTTATAAACAGTGGCATTCAATGAACTTGGGGAAAATATCATTTTCTTTGGAGGTAAGTGGAGGGGAAGAGAAATCATTAAAGTCTGCAGTGTGGAATTGTTGCAACTGGAAGACCATCAAGTGTGCTGGATGCTCTGTATTTTAAAAGTAAGAGTGATCACTATTATTGCCTTTTAAAAATCTGCCATGATATGATACCTGCCATGGGAAAGGGATGCTTGATGAGCAACCAATGATGTTGAACTTGTATTTTCCAACTGACTTGCTTTTCTCCTGAAAGCAGCATTTTAGTGAAATTGTGTTTGTTTTTCTTTCTGATAGGTTCTAATTGAAGTTTGAAGCTTCATTACACAGTGCCTGGGAATATGTTGTCAAATACAATTCACCTCTCCCATAGTGAATGCCGGTGTAATTTCATAGGACAGGGTGCTCCAGAGTGCTCAGCTGTCACAATATTTGGCTCTAATTTCATTCATCACAGACAAAATAGCCACAATGTTTTGATTTTCTATTTCCAAATGTTGGTATAGGGAAGCAAATAATGTAGAATGTGTTTGAATTTAAGTAGATGAATTTTGGGGACTGTAGCAACTGCTCAATTGGTAAAGTGATAGCATTGAACATCATGAGGATTGAATTTAATCCATACAACCCACATAAAAAAGCAGTATATACATCCACTTCTATAATCTCAGTATTTGGTTGGCAAAGACAGCCAGATCCTGAGGCTTGCTAACCTGGGTTGATCAACAAATTCCAAGCCATTAAGAGACCCTGCTTCAAGAAACAAGGGAGACCACATTCAAGAAATGATACCCAAGGTTGACCTTGACACAAATACACAAAACAGACTGGCTTTGGCATTCAAACAGCATGTTGTAGGCTAATCCTGGCCTCCTTCAATTATATTGCAATGTTGCAACCTTCCATGTTTTGACAAATGTGTCTGTTGAAATAAAACAAAAAATGAATTGCCAACCAAATCACACTCATCGTGTTTTAATTTTAATATATGAAATGGAACAGGCTAAAATTCTAAAATTGCTGTTGTTGTTACACAATACTTTCTCACATAGAAGGGCATCTCTGATTTTATCTGGAAAATTGAATACATGTTAGGTAAGTTTGGTTGCTCAGTAAATGAGTGTATTTCAGTGTGAAGACTGTTTTTATTAACAGATTTTATAAACTGGCATGGGTAGCTCCCAGCTCTGTGGCAAGAATCATCTATCATCATAAACCTGTAACATAAATGTACAGGCTACATTCTTGTTATGGGAGTCTGTAAGAGGAGTCCCCCACATGAACAATTTATATGAGAGGCTCATAAAAAGAAACCCAGTGATAGCCCAGGCAGCCACAGGGAGCAGCGTGTTGTTGAGGGTCTTCAAATCATGAGAAATGATACTTCCAAGCACTTTTTTGTTGTTGTTGTTTTTAGAGACAGGGTTACCCTGTGGCTTTGGAGGTTGTCCTGGAACTAGCTCTTGTAGACCAGGCTGGTCTCGAACTCACAGAGATCTGCCTGCCTCTGCCTCCCGAGTGCTGGGATTAAAGGCAGTGCCACCACTGCCCTGCTCCAAGCACTTATTAATCTTATTCCATATATATATTAATGTGTGTGTGTGTGTGTGTGTGTGTGTGTGTGTGTGTATGTGTGTGTGTATTAGAATCAGAAGGAGGGATCTATATTTTGGAGGGGTGCAAAGTTCATCACTGTATCATAGGACTGAAACAGCCCATAATATCCATTCTGAGCAGAATATGTTGATATTTTGCATCTGGGGCTACAAAGGCTGAGCAGTGTCATGCTGGCTTTTGCTTGTTTGAATTGAATGAGACTAAATGACTCCAATACATTCTGTAAGCAGAAACTCCATTATGTGTATGAGTACAAAATTGTCCACAGCATAGGGAGATGATTTAACAACATGCTCAATAAACAAAACAAATAACCCTACTTATTTAATTATTCTGAAAAGGTAACAGTAAAACATAGTTGGCATTTTCCACTTTTAAAAGTTATTCTCATTGGTCCTTGTTCATTTGAATCATCCATTTTATTATTATTTTTTAATGGTCAGTGGGGAGGAGGAAAACAAGCTTTCAGAAGAAAATCAGAAAATTTAAAGACAATATGTGTTTGAGTGTAGGCATTTGTTATATGTAAACAATTTTAATGACACTATTATTTATGACATATGAAACAGTGTTTAGCCAGTTTTTTGAATTCTTTTTGTATTGTTCAGACATTATTCTTCCAAATGTCTCCCAATATTATCCATCTTCCAGAGAGAAATATTTGAGTCATACTTTAATAAAAGATTATATTTTATTTTTATTAACATTATTATTATTACTATTTGAGTGTGTTTGAATACACACACACACACACACACACACACACACACACACACACACACACATACCATGGAGAGCATATGGAGGAGAGAGGACAGCTTGAAGGAATCGATTCTCTGCTTCCTCGTGTGTTTTGGGGATCCCATACAGACCAGCCCCTCTGATGCTAGTGCCTCTACATGCCTCCCTTGAATTATTCTTAACTCCAGTTTTGTTCTAACTTCTTGTTTCTGAAGTCTAGAACAAAACATTAAAATTCACTAGAAAAACTACCACATTCTCCATAGTGTGGAATATCTTTTACTCTTCTAATGATTAGCATAAAAACTGGGCTCTTTCATACGTTTAGAATCACCCAACTCTTCTAGGATATTGTTAATTGCCAATAGGGAGTATTGAGATCACAGAGAAGTTTAGATGAAATAGAAGCTCCTTTTGAAGGCCCATGCCTATAATGCCAGCACCAAGGAGATCAAGGCAGGGATGCCACATTTTGAGGCCAGCATGGTCTAAGTAACCATTTCCAGTTTGGGCTATAGAATCAGAAAGAAAGAAAAATAGTTTTAAATATTTAAGCAGTTATGTATTGGAATTTGATCTTTAAATTTTTCTTTTTCAATTTGTGGAATTTCACCTTGACTTTGGCCAGTCTCTGAAATGCAGATATCCTGATTTCCCTTTCTGCTAAGCAATAGTCTTAGAAATTGTTCTTGAATTTTAAAATGTGATGGTTTTTCAAATGTTTGATGTTCATGTAAATTTAGAAAATACACCCTTGCTCAAGCAGCTTGAATTTTTGAGCTAAATAACTTCTGGAAATGCAAGTATTATTTTTCTGTAATTTATACTTTCTGTGAATAATTTCTTGAAATCTTTTCTGCTGCTATTGGTTAGTACACAGGCCCTTTAACTACAAATAAAATGAAATGGTATGTATGGACAAAGACTAGAAACAAAAGAAAAATAATTTCAACTCCTGAGATTTCTCTGGGCCAAGCTTCATCACGCGAACTCCTCTTTGGAAAGGCATTGTGCATTTACATGAATAGTTTGAAAAATCCTTATTATTTTGATAAATGATTCTATTGTTTTCTCAGTGTTAAATATTCATAAAAAGTATCTATTCATTCACATAATCCTTTTTAAGTGAGGTAGGTGAAGGAATAAGTAGGTCAGTGTGATGAGAAATGAGCTTTTTCTTTATCAAATGGTTAATTTTGTATTCTTTAAAAGAGCAAAGATCAGCCTGGCAAATAAGGTACTTGTAATAATGAAAGTCCTACACACAGGAAAATGGTCCTTTTGTTTTTAATCTAGAATTGATTAATTAAACTTCATTGTGCACATATTGCATAAAACCATTTCAAGGACACAATTCTTCCTCATTATACAACCAGTGAAGGTCCAGATTTCACAGAGTGACTCACACTGCATGGAAAAGTGCTCACAAACTGAGTGGAGTTTGTTGGAGGTTCCTTCTTAAGATTCTTGTGAATAGAGGTCAGGAACATACCCAAGAATGAACTGGTTGAACATGTTCTTGCTGCTGTGCAACCTCGGGCCTGGGCTCTGGCACAGAGATGCTGGGCACCCATGGCACCCAGCAGCCATCCAGAGACACCATGTGCTTGAGCACCCAGTGCTCAAGGTTCTGATAGATTCAAGCTTTCCACTATTCTTAAAGACATGGGAAATTAGACACGTATTAAAAAGAGAAGTGAGCTAATATATTTTAAAAAGGAAAGAGCACAAGGAAATGATTAAAAAAACTGGCAGCAAAGAAAGAAAATCTTGTTTCACTAAACATTTATTGAATAAAATATTTGTGTGCCTGACACTGTTAGATTTTCTCTGTGTACATTGTACCAGCAACATATGCTGTGTGCCCAACACAAAATATGCTCCTGTTTATCTTGATGATAGATGTGATGCCTACCTATTTAGTGCCCAGGGCGTGGCCACAAACCTATGCTGAACCTGGTGTGTGTCCTTGCCAAATACTTAAAAAAAAAAAAAAAAAAATGGTGCTACATGACTTTTCCTGGGGAAACATGAACATATTTTCATCCCAGATGGGGGCACCAGTCACAGGTCAGATAAACAATTCCACCAAATCTAGCTTAGTGAATCAGTGAGTTTACGGGAGCACAAATGACTCCAAGGTAGCTGCATCACCTAGAACTCATTCTAGCTTGGATGATAATTAACAAAAGATGCTTCTCTTTGAGCACCCTGGGCTTCTTGCATGGTCTCCTCTCCTCAGCTTGTGTAACATTGAGCATGGGTTTTGGAATTCTGTTGACTTTCATGGATTTCCTGAGACTTGTGGTTTTGTCATTTACTTCCTGAGTCTTAAGGACCCTTTCTTCCAGCAGGAGCTATTTGAGTTAGCAGGAACTTACTAAAGAAAAATTCTCCTCCCCGAAAGAAAGCCCCTGTCAGTCAAGGGCCTAAGGCTTGGATAAGTACCAGGAGAAAGGAAGTAAGTGAGAGCAGTTTTGTTTTTGTTTGTTTATTTATTTGAGAAAATATCCCGAATAGAGATTCCTTTTTCTCCCTGTGGAAGCACAGACCCTGCTCTTCAGTGGATGAAGAAAACATGAGCCATAATTTAATATCTTGAGTCATTCCCAAGGTGCTTGGTCTCTAAAGATCCTGGAAGTCCCAGATCTATTATTATTATAGATCTATTATTGCTCAAGGAAAACATCACTCATGTATTTCTTCATTTGTTGAGTAAATAATTTCGAGCTCCTATTAAGTGAGAGTCACTGCCCTACACAGTGGAAAAAGCAGGCAGGAACAAATTTCTGTTCTTAGAGTTTACTCATTTTAGAGAGCCTCTTAGGGCAAAAGAACAACAATCTGTAACTCAAGTTCCAGGATGTTTGATGCCCTCTTCTGGGTTCTGTGAGCAGTCATATGGTACATAGACACATGCAGACAAAACACTTATACACATAAAAAGAGATTATGTTAAAAAAAGAACACAATTGAAAACCACCAGGAAAAATCAATATTAACTATATTAATTAAAATTAGGAATTTTGATCTCAAGAGGAAAATTTAACTTTACCTTTAAGAAATCACTATACATTACTAAACAGTCATATTTTTAAAAATGATGAAGTTTAATTTTTATGAAAATTAAGATAATATTCTGACCTTTTCAATTGTTATCACTATGGGTGTTTTGATTTAGTTGATCAGCAATGTGTAAAAGAATACATACTTGTAATTTAATGTGAGCCTATGTTCAAGGGTCTCATGCTCTGTTGACTGAGCTAGTTGGACACTAGAACCCATTGTTAAAGTTTTTTTTGTTTGAGTAAGAAATACTAGTGCAAATTCAAAGCACAAATGCATAAACTATGAACAGTCTTCAGACATTCTGTCATCTTTTATCCCTTTCTCTGTAGAATGTTGCCTGCCAATGGTAAGAGTCTGCAAGTTCTCCTTGCTGTATTTAATTTTTCCAACACCCGTGAGTGCAGGCAAGAAAGATGGCTTATTTGGGTTTTCATACTGAAAGTGAGTAAGTTCAAAATTTCAATAGATTTAAGCAGATCTTTTAAAAATATTATATATATATATATACATATATATATTTCTTAATCAGTTTTCATGAAAACACATTCCTGAATAACCACAAATAAATTTGCATTATAAAATGAAGACATTCAGTTGTTGGAAATAATCCTCAATCCTATTGGGATCATTTGTTTCTTTTAAATACTTAAGAATCTTCTTCCTTAAGTGTTTTATGATTTGGCTTTGTTTAACCATTGCTTAAATTAGTTATTTCCCATTGGAGTCTCTACAATAGTTGTCTTTAAAGGAAGTGAATTAAGTGGTTACATGGAATGGGAATAGAAAACAACTACAGGAATTAAAAGCAAGATGTGTCGCTGGGAAGAGGTAGTGGCCTTCTTTTGTCATACAACTACGGGAATTAAAAGCAAGATG